AATAATTTACTTAATTGCATGAAACCATCCCGAGAGCTAACTTAGCACAACTGTTCTCCATTACCCAGCCCAATTCCCCAGCGCTGGGATGATGAGCTGCTAAAAGCTGGCTGGGTAATAGAGCTGCATTTCATTTAAGCAGGGGTCAGCAAACTATGGACCACAGGCAAATCTGGCCTCCCACCTGCTTTTGTACAGCCTACGAGCTAAGAATGGTTTTTACATTTTTAAATGATTGGAAGATAATCAAAGGAAGAATACCATTTTGTGACATGAAAATTATATTAAATTCAAATTTCAGTGTCCTTAAAGTCTTATTGGAACATAGCCACACTCATCTGTTTGTCTCTAGCTGCTTTCACACTATAACAGCGGAGTCGAGTGGTTGAGACAGCAACCACACAGCCCACAAAAGCTAAAATATTCACTATCTGGCCCTTTACAGAAAGTCTGCTGACCCCTAACTTAAAGGCTGGGCTAGGCCAAGGTCACCCATAATAGCATTCCACAGCATCTTGGGTCCCAAGGTATTGAAAAATTATTTCCACTAACAAGTTTATCTTTACAATCAAGTCCACTCAAAGAAACTGCCTGAAGTTTGGGCTTGAAAACTGTGCCAGGTGGGATTCAAATAAGATGCATATGAGAATTTAGCAAAGGGTCCTTTAGTTTGGAGGAATTTGCCTAAGAAGATGGAAATATCAAATTTTCTTCACTACAACATTCTCTAAATTCAGGAAGTCAGCGGCTCAGCAGGAACCATTCACGTCCCCTGACCTGCTGCTGGGGACCCCACAAGTGGCAGTTTCCTGCAGGCCATCGTGCTTGATTCTCTAGAAGTCCTCACAGACTGGCCTCTCTCTAAGTGCTATCACCTGATTGAGGAAAGTCGGGCTGGAGAGAAAGTCCCAGAAAGGTGTAAGTGTAGCTTCCTGAAAACAATCAATATTCCCTACAATGTTTCGTTTCGGGATTCTATTTAGCATCCCACTACCCTCCCTTCCTATCCCTTCTGAAAGCCGTGGCTAAGACAGAGAACTCCAAAAGGGTGAGGCCTTGTCGTCATATCATAGTCAGTGTCGTCTTCATCCCTAGAAGGGAGGCTGCCCAGGAGCAGGCTTTGAGTCTGGGAGTGCCAGGGAGCTCTGTCGGGCAGGCCTGAGTCACAGGGCAAGAACCAGAGCAAGGAGGGAGGACGTCTCACAGTGCCCCTTCCCCAGAGCTTAAGATTTGCGAATGATTATAAGCCATTATGATTACTTTTACTACAACACAAAAAAGTCTGGGCTCCCTTTATGGGAGTCTCCTTTTAAGAAATAGGGGTGACATACATTATAATAAATAAAATAAAACAAGCATCTGTGTTAAATTCTAGAATTAACACAGCAGCAGAAAACATGACGATGGGAAGAAACCACCTGGAAGGGATATCATTTAACTCATCCAACCAAAAAGCACAAAAAATGCATTTGGCACCTGCACATGCTTTCTGGACAGTGAAAGAGAGAAGCATCATCCGCCGAGCTAGAACCTCTTTAGAACTAGGTTCGAGCTGGAGGTGAAAGAGACACTTGGAGCAGGTAATCCGACCTCGAAGGCAGTGCTTCACAATCTGTTTCACTTCACAGTACATACAGAACTTGCTAATATTTGATAGCACACTAGGGTAAAGCAGACAGGACTGCTGGCAGGTGGTCCCCAGGGGCCTGGAGCCAGCCTGAGAGCTGAGTGTACACTAGCTCAGACATGGGCGAGGCAGCTCTGGTCTAAGTTGTTGACTGCAATCACCCAGTGGTCAAGTTGCTCTGTATTTCTGCCGTTAGTATGATCTCCAAACCAGTTGGTCCTTGACTCAACAAACCAGCACCATACTAGTGTCCTCCACCTCACTCATTCTGAAGGTCATCGTGGTAAACTGATTTCTTAGAAAGACGAACCTTCTGGTTTAGCAGATTTAGTCTGCATTCAAGGGCATACTGTGTGATGGATGGTGCCCCCTCTCAGAGGCCTCTCATAGAGCCTCTCTGATTGAGGGTAGTGTAAAAGGACATATATTTTTTAGGACTGCCACCAAAAATGTGGACATAGTGAACTGAGGCAAACAAAGCATCAGAGAGCAACTCTAAATAGCAGGCTATGCCAAAAGCACCGAGGAAAAATGGATTTTCATGAGGGCAAATGCAGGCGGTAGGCACAGGAGAACAAACGCAGTGACTTCTGAATGGGGCCATTAGCTGATTTATAAAGGCTCTCGCCAGTGGCCCTTGCTGTGGGAGACGGATGTGTTCCTCCTTCTAAAGCCGTGCTCCACACACTTGTTTTCTGGGGAACCCAAGGAATCAACTCCAAGGACGCAAATCCATTATTTTCAAACCTTAATTAACTGGAACCTACTTAGGACTTTAGAGGGTTTTTTTTTTCTCACTTTGAAGGAAAACTTTTCTCTTTAAGTCAGCATGGTGTAAATGAAAGAAAACAGAACAAAGCGTTAGCTATTTCTTGCATAGAAGCAGCTCATTTAATCTTTGGGGGCTTCAGCCTTCTAATTTATAAATTGACAGGGCCAACGAGATTTAGATATTTAAGGTTATTTTCAGCAGAATTCTGATTTTAAGACATGCCAACAGATCAGCATCCATCAATAATCTGTGATCACTCTTCTACCCTGACCACCATACCCCTCCTAACACGAGCTGAGATCACCAACAGTCTTTTATAGTTTTTAGAGTATTTCATATATTTAATTAAATTGAACTTTATAGCAATCTGATGGGCTAAGGTCTCTAAATGTTACAACAGAAACCGTCTCATTTGATGTGCTTGAAGCGATGGTTAGTCATTCTAGAAGCAGCTAAAGAGAAGAATCATACAGAAGAGATACATATATAACTAAACATTTGTTTTAATTTATATAAATGTATATTCATTCACTGTTTTTTTAAAAATGTAAATCTTTAAGAGTATGCTAATTGTATTTCTAGATACTTTTTTCTGAATAAACTACACTCATAATTCATTATCTATAATTTAGTTTTTGTTTCTTTAAAAGAGGGAGAACTTAGACACTGTAAAGCAATCTGAGTACAGAATTCTCCCTGAATTTTATGATTTTTTCCCCTACTCTTTGATAGGTGTCACACCCGAATGGCAGAATTTTTGAAGATTCATCCTCATCAAGTCTTTCCAAACAATTTAACTTACTTTTCACAGAAACAACAGCTTTCTTTTTTATGCTCTTATTTGATCAGTTTACCTAATACTCATTTACATTGCATAATTATAACAACATGTACATGTGGCATAACGAGGTTTGGGCATGAATAGGATTGACCCTGGTACACACAATTTCCCTAGCGGAAGCAGAGGTAGAAGGGAGAACTAGCCAGTGTGTGCAGCATGCCATAGGCACTGACCACTGTGTCCTGCAGAAGGAATGACGAGCACTGGCTGAGATGACCATGGGGCATCCAGGCGAAGAGTTCAAGAAGGCAGGTGGAGAGGCTTGTCTGGAGCCTGGGAAGGAGGGCAGGGCTGGAGAGACAGATTTTGGCATCATCAGCATCCAGTCAGTAGTTAAAATCGTAAGAGTAGAGGAATTCATTCAGGAAGGCAGTGTGGATAGAGAGAGAAAAAAAGAGGGTGGGGTAGACCCCCAGGGAATGCCAACCCTAAAGTGGTGAGCAGAGGAAGAGGCTTCTGCAAAGGGACCAGCAGGACATCACTGGAGATGTATGAAGAGAAGCAGAGAACCAGGAGGTGAAGCTTCAAAGGGCCAAATGCAGGACAGAAGACTAGGAAGCAAGAACTGAAAAGTGTCCTTGGATTTGACAACCAGGTAGCCACTGGTGAGTGAGAATGAGAGCATGTCCACACCCCCAAAGGATTTCACTGAAGGAAGGAAAGAGATATTCCGTCATCTCCTATGCCTCCGGTCCTCTCCCACCAGCTTTGCCGTGTTCTTCAGCGGCCACTCTGCCTACTGTCTCCCCATCAGCATTCTTGAGCAGACTCCTCAGGCTGCCTGAGCCCAGGCAAGGGAAGGAGGAGCATGACAGCCCCGGAAGATACCCTGGACTCCTCCAAGCACAGGCAGAACAGATTATCCACTTGTCCCCGGAGCTGCTAACTTATTCGTAGGCCCAGGGTGGCAACTATGTACAATGTCTGCTGATAAACATTTGTGTAAGTATATCACAAAAGATAGGATGAAATGAAACTTCAATTAGAAAGTTTTATAACAAGACTTTTGAGATCTCTCCAGGCTCAAAGTCTCAGAGAAAGAAGTCTCCATGAGGCTATGCTCTGCCAATGGTCTGATAAACAGCTCCATCAGCCAATCCTGTTGCCCAACTCATTTTTCAAACACCCAGAGGCTTCCCTCAGCACACAGTGACCAGGGAAAGAAAGCCAGTTCTCTGGGGTTTGATTAAGAAATATGAATGAGAAGAAAAAAAGTGCACAATACAGAACACAGGCTCTACTCTTTTCTCCAACAGCCAACGTTCTAGACTCCTCAATTCTCTGCTTCTTCAGATATTAATCTAGAATTTGTAAACATGTACTTCTTTTTGGAAGATGGGCATTAAGAAGAAATACTTTCTTTTTAAGCCTCACAATCAGATACTGGTTAACTGCCTTTTAAACTTCCATGTTTCCTGTTCCCTTCTCCATTAAGAGGGATTTGAGGTAGAAACTGAGGTGAGGATCAAATACTGGACACAGCCTTATCAGAGAAGACCAGCTGGGAGTTTTGGTCACACAGCCACCCACACGGACACCACTCTTTTGCCTTGGCTCATGTCACTAGGCCTCGTGTGCCTGTGGAGTTGGGAGGGTGGGTGGGAGTTAGTTCCTGCTTGCCTCAGAGAACACTGTTTTAGTGCAGTGTTGCAGAAAGGAGAGGAGGGAAGAGCCCAAGACTGCCATGCTGAATCTCATGCACACTGGGTTCAGGCACAAGCCCAATCTGCTGGTTGCATTGAAAAAAAGAAGTGACTGACCTGATCCAAACGCAGGGCACCATCCACAAACCGCTGTTTGCGTAGCTCCTTTGCAATTCCGTGGAGATTCAAGACAGCTCGGTGTACCTCCTCACTGGTGTGCTCCGGGGAGATGGGGGGCAGCTCCTTCTTGGGGATTTTCTTAGTTGGGCTTTCAATCATGCTCTGTGCATGCTCGTAGCTCAGTTTGGTGCAGGAGCAGATGATGGTCCGGCCAAACCATTCATCAAGGATCTGCAAAGACGTACAGATTGTGAGCGAGTCATGAGGAGAATTTTTTTCAAGTTTTTCTTTCATGCAACCATTCATCCATACACATTCTAGAGATTTACTGAGCACTGACTTTGTGCTCGGAGTGGTGTTAGGTTCTGCCTAGGCACAAAGACCAATCAGAGGTGGAAGCTGCTGCCCTCAGGGAGCTCAGACTTAACAGGCAGTGGAGGCCGATGGAACGTCTCCAAACATACAGGGGGCACAGGCAAGGCCAAGCAGGAGACTTGAGGTGAAGGGCCTGTTGGAGGCTTTTTCATCAATGAGTGGTCATCAACGTCAAAACTGGAAGAGAGAAGAAGGGGATAGATGCCAAAGACGTGACAGATGGGGAATCTGTGGGCATGGTAATGGATCAGACATGGGATGTGGGACTGAGAGAAACAGAGAACATAGGTGGAGAAGCAGGATGAAGTTAGAAAGAGAAAATCAACTCCAGCTTATTCTATTTGGGGCATTTATCTGGAGACAAAGGTCCAGAACAGAGTTTCTCAACCTCAGCACTACTGGGCTAATTCTTTGTTGTGGGGGCTGTCCTATTCATTGTAAAATGTTTATTTACCAGTATTCTTGAAATTTACCCGCTAGAGCCAGTAGCACCTCCCCCCCAACCTTCGGAGTTGACAACCAAAAATGTCTCCACACATCGCCATACTTGCCCTGGGGGGAACTCGGCCCAGGATGAGACCCACTGGGCTCGTAGCAGATACACCCAAGTTTAGCGGTGGTGCTTGCTGAGTGGTGGGATTACTGTTGATCTGTACTTTATCCTTTCAATTTGTCTGTATTTTCTATAATGAGCATTTATTACTTTTAAAACAAAAATAAAACAAACATTAAAATATTTTTGGACTCCTGAGTCTGAGATGCAGGGAGGAGACCCAGATGGGGACATGTAGCAGGCAGTCGGGGGGTGGGCCTGGGGAGATGACTAGTCTGGAGGTGGGGAGCGGGCATCATCGACTGGAGGGTCCAAGGAAGAGAGTCAAGGCTGTATTCCCTACCACCTCCTCCATTTTAGGGAGCAAAAAGAGAAACTGGAGAATGAAAAACAAGAGAGCTCAAAGAGATAGGAGAATAATTAAAAGCATCCACTGTTAGGAAAAGCAGCAGAAAAGGGCTTTAAGAAAGGGGTACTCAAAAGCAAAAACAGATACTTAGGTAGCACTTCCGATGAGACAGAGACCGTTTATACACTTTCCATGCTATATACACAGCAACTATTTAATTCACACGGCAACCCTATGAGGTAGGTATTTTATTATCCTCACTCTGCAAATGAGGAAACTAAGGCACAGCCACGGTAAGTAATGTGCCCAAGGTCATACCTTTAGAGAATGGCAAAGCCAGGAACTGAACCCAGGCAGTCCAGCTTCAGAGACTGAGCTTTTAACCTCTAGCATATGTCAAATGCCACTTGGACTCAAGGAAGATGAAAACAAAGTCTTTGCATTTAGCATTTGCTTATTGGTGATCTTTAGGAAGGCTATTTTAGGCGGAAAAATATGGGACAGTGCGGGTGAGGGGAGGCCGGGAAGCAGAGTCAAACTGTAAAGCTTTCAGGCCCGTGCTGTGAATGGATTACACAGATGCTGCCAGAGCAGTTCCTCTCACTGTCAGGGCAGCCAGAGCTCTGCCTTCCATCAGCCTGGCACACACACCCGTGTGCCATTCAAATAGCAACATTTTCTCCGTGTGTTGTGATGTGAAAAAGTTCGGGAAGCTTTGGGTTAAGGATAGGTGGATGGCTATCAGTGGAGGCAATGCAACGAGTGTGGATGACTGCTTCCAGAAGGATGGCAGGACAGAGGATTATGCTGTGTTTGTAGGATGAGGGGAAGAAGCCAGTAAAAAGGAAGACTGAAGATGCAAGAGAACGAAGAGATCTCAGGCCAAGTAGAGGAGACCCATCCATGAGAGAGGAAGACAGGCTTGGAGAGGAGGCAGGAAGGAAGGGGAGGCGAGAGGTGAGAGAGGTGATCTTGAAGGGAAGAAGAGGGAAGTTGTGAGTGCTCATATCAGATAGCCCCAATCTGTGGAGTCAAGTATAAGGCAAAGAACGGAGAGGGCTCTGTGGGGAAGGGTTCAGGGCATGACGAAAGTGGAACAGCTCTGAGATAAATGCTGTGGGAAATGAGATTCATGAGCAAGGAAAAGCCAGATGTGCTGAGCCACAGAGGGAGCTCCAATCAGCAGCAGAACCTGTCAGCCTGGGCTGGCAGACATACCCCCTGCCTTCCTTTCACCAAACCATTCAAACCCCAACCTCAGAGACAATGCTTCCGGAAAAAGGCCATCTGAGGGATCCATAGGTGTTCCCAGTGGGAAAAGGAGAGAGCCCAGCACAGAGGTGCTGTCCATGCTGCAAAGCCTCTATAGAACACAGCTTCTACCCTGGAAGGCTAAAGAGACCCCTCTGATACCATCACCTTCCCTTGAAGGAAGAACCAGTACTCTTAAAATGGCAGCTATGAAGCACAGGAAGAGAATGAATGGTAGCAACTACTCACATTTTTCTTTGATTCAGTGCAAAGAGCCTTATTACAAAGAGCCTTGGATCTGTAACATCAGATTTTGATTTTCTTAAAAAAAAATCCTCAAACTATACTTTTTGGATTATTCCAAGAACCACTCCTATCCAAAAATGCAAGTGATTCAAATATCTTCCTCATGACTCTTCTGCTGTGGCAAGCGGGTCCTGAATTTGGCTCTCAGGAGGTGTCTCTGTGTGTGTGAATGCACGAGAAATTGTAGAGCCAGTTCTAGGTACTGTCCAACAGTCCTGGTGGGAAGTAGTGCGTGCAGGTCTCAGAAGAGCCCCGTTCAAGGTCAGCCCTTGCTTGTCCTTCTATCACATCCACATTTCCTGAAAACTTCCCACTAATGGAGTTGCTCCAACCTCCTCTAGAATGACAGGGCCACGACCTACTCATTCTTGTGGTCACCAAGTTTTCCCCTGGAGACTAAGCTTGTTTCCTTTTCTCCATTTCATTCCAAACCCAGTCAATCCTCCTCCTGTGTGTCCACATTTTGTTTGATAGTCTGTCTTGAGCATGCTTGGGGAAACTTTCCTTTCCATTCTATTCCACTTCCTTCTTGCACACACTTCACAAATAGTCTCACAGACTCCCTCAGGCATCCAGGTCATAGGATACCTGGTTTCCTGGGGTCTGTGTCTCTTTCTCCTGGAGGACACAGGAAACCACTACACACTTACCCAGGCTAACCACCTCACACAGAGAGACTGTACCACCCTGACTGGGCATCGATTTTCACGTCAACTGGTGGGTCAAAAGCTGCTTTAACAATCTAATGAAAGCTTCAGGCCCTCTCCCCTGAAATATTTATGCACCAAATTTTGCAGTAAGTTCCACGAGGTTCCTAGACACCTTGCCACCCCCAAGCCCATGTATCCTGGCTCTAAACAGAGCTTTGTTGCTCCCTCTGAACCCTCTGATCGTAGTGCTGAGCCCTGACCAGGGGGCACTTTTAATCCTGAGGAGTTCTTAAAATTTATTACCTGTAACTTGGCAAAACCAGAAGTTGACCACTCCATATCACACCTCACTAACCACACACTGGCTGCACTATCTCAGCTGGTTTGAGCCACATTTTTTCCTAACGGGCACCTCTGCTCCTTTAGCTTGTTTCCTTCTCAGTCAATGACAGATGCTGTTCTCAACAGCGAACACGAGCACCACCAAATCCGAGCCTGCAGCACTGATGAGAAGTTTCTCACAGCTCTTCCACCTTACTTGAACCCCCTTCCCCTTAATGTCTGCATCCCAGAAAATCTGTACCAACCTTCTTTCTGAATATACAAAGGGCTGAAGCGGCAGCTCTGAAGAGCCATCGAGAACTTCCTGGCCCAGTGACAGTGGCCTCAGGCAGCAGAACCTATTCTGCTTTAACATAATCCAGTGTTTCTGGGAATCATACCTGAAACACAGACTAAAAAAATTCTTAGGCCAGGAAAACATGCCTGAAACCATCTTGTGGGGAGGGAGCAGGGAAACAAAGATGCCCACTGCAGACTTACACAGAGAAGGGCAGCAGGAAGGCAAAGACTCAAGGAGGGGGGAGGGTCCTAGGGGCAGCATGCTTTACAGTATGGGAGGAAGGCCTCTCTGGATGGAATACCTCATTAATTTCCAATTTGGAAACTGTATTCACATCAATGTCCCGTCCAAAACCAGGGTCAGTGGCAGAAGACAAAAGGACAAAGAGTTTTTCATGGAAAAAGTAAAAAAGCCATGAGGAGCTTCATAAACAAAACCCTTCAGAAAGAAGATCATGTCTTTCCTCTTTCCTTTGCTTAATCACAGGATCTGGGTCACTCACTTTTTGCAGGCAGCAAGTTTTCTGCAGACACCCTAGGACACTACTAGAATGTCAGATTAAACACCGAGCCAGCACCGACTGAAGGCATATGGCTGGAAAAAACCTGGTTAGAAAGGAGCAAAGAGGGGGCTGGCCCAGTGGCGTAGTGGTTAAGTTTGCAAGCTCCACTTCGGCAGCCTGGGGTTCACAGGTTCAGATCCCAGGCACGGACCCATGCACTGCTTATCAAGCCATGCTGTGGCAGGCATCCCACATATAAAATAGAGGAAGATGGCCACAGATGTTAGCTCAGGGACAATCTTCCTCAGCAAAAAGAAGAGGACTGGCAACAGCTGTTAGCTCAGGGATAATCTTACTCACCAAAAAAAAAAAAAGCAAGGAGCAAATAATGTATACCTCAAGACCTACTTTCAGGTACCAGGTAAGACAGGAAATAGCACAACACTTCAGAGCATTGGCCCTGTCCGGTCGCAGAGTGCTTTCACACCTACTACCTTTTAAAATCTCTGTAACACATCTGAGAGGAGTGCATTATTCAGCCCATTTTACAGTTGAGAAAACAGGCTGGGGATTTACGAGAAGTCTCATAAAACAGACAGACATAGATGGTGAAATAAAGAAAA